GGAAGGTGTCATGAAGCAAATGAACTATAATGTGAGCTAATATGATGGGAATAGAGAGTGAGGATCATGAACTCCAAGCTATTACTAATAATGAGAAAACAGCTCTCAGTCATAAGTGATTATCCTCCTAAGAAATCCCTTTAGTGAGATGTGAACTATTGTGCATGACCAGGGAGAATATGGACAAAGGTAAATAGCATCCTACTGAGCACTTTGAAATTGATAATCATGACTCAGCTGTATGAAGAAATAGAACTTTATTCTTATTCTTTATTTTCTTAATTATTGACTAATGGCCCGGTGCATGAAATTCGTGCACATTAAAAGGGAATTAATTAGAGGAAATATTTTTTTTAAATATATATTTTATTGATTTTTTACAGAGAGGGAGAGGGATAGAGAGTTATAAACATCAATGAGAGAGAAACATCGATCAGCTGCCTCCTGCACACCCGCTACTGGGGATGTGCCCGCAACCAAGGTACATGCCCTTGACCGGAATCAAACCTGGGACCTTTCAGTTTGCAGGCCGACGCTCTATCCACTGAGCCAAACCGGTTAGGGCTAGAGGAAATATTTTAATATTGCTATTTGCCCTTTCTCTATAATAGAAGTGTCAGAGATGAAAGAAAATTAGTAAGATGCATATGAAAATAATATATAAATTTATTAATAAATAAATAATAACAGTGTCACATCCCTGGGTGGCGCCGGGCAGGGGATGCAGCCTCACATCCCCTGCCATGCACACAGCCCTGCCCACCCGCACCTGCCACGCACGCAGCCTCCTGCTGATTGGTTGTTACAGTGTGAGGGTGTTATGACCATTTGCATATTACACTTTTATTAGTATAGATTCAGAGAGGTAGGGAGAGGGAGAGAGAGGCAGAAACATCAATGATGAGAGAGAATCATTGATTGGATGCCTCCTACATGCCCCCCACTGGAGATCAAGCCCACAATCCAGGCATGTGCCCTTGACCAGAATCAAACCCGGGACCCTTCAGTCTGCAGACCACTCTATCCACTGAGTCAAACCAGCTAGGGCTATTCTTATTCTTTTAACTGATTTCAACCTTGCTGAGCATCAGTCTTTTTCCCCAGAGGCAATAAACACAACTTCTTGCCAAATAAATGGAAGTGCATCAATCTGCATTACAAATAAGTCTCTCCAGGTTCCCCAGACCCTTGTGTGCCCTGTGGCATTTCTCACCAACAGTGGGTCTGCTGCTCTCTCACTGGTTGATACTTACATGACTGCCAATGTCAACACCCAGCCCCTTCTTGTTAAAGGGATATGACAAAGGCACTCAGGGGAAAAGGACATGAGACAGAGGCTTTCAGCCACTTAAAATATGGACTGTCACATGGCCTGGCCGGTTTTGCTCAGTGGCTAGAGCATTGGCCTGAGGACTGAGGGGTCCCGGGTTTGATTCAGATCAAGGGCATGTACCTAGGTTGTAGGGTCCTCCCTGGCTTGGGCCCTGATCGGGGGCATGCAGGAGGCAACCAATTGATGTGTTTCTCTCACATCAATGTTTCTCTCTGTCTTTCCCTCTCTCTTCTGCTCCTCTAGGAAATCAATGGAGCCCTGGCCAGTTTGACCCAGTGGATAGAATGTTGGTCTGCGGACTGAAGGATCCTGGGTTTGGTTCCAGTCAAGGGCACATGCCTGGGTTGTGGGCTCGATCCCAATTGGGGGCATGCAGGAGGCAGCCAATCAATGATTCTCTCTCATCATTGATGCTTCTATCTCTCTCTCCCTCTCTGAAATCAATAAAGATATATTTAAAAAAGAAGGAGAAGGAGAAGGAGAAGGAAAAGGAGGAGGAGGAGGAGAAGGAGGAGGAGGGGGAGAAGAAGAAGAAGGAGAAGAAGAAGAAGAAGAAGAAGAAGAAGAAGAAGAAGAAGAAGAAGAAGAAGAAGAAGGAGGAGGAGGAGGAGGAGGAGGAGGAGGAGGAGGAGGAGGAGGAGGAGGAGGAGGAGAAGGAGAAGAAGAAGAAATCAATGGAAAAATATCCTTGGGTGAGTACTAAAAACAAACAAACAAACAAATAAATATATAAAAAAAAATATGGCCTGTCACAGACTAATATGAACAGGCCATCAACACCATTTCTGGGTTCAGCCCCTTTGTGTCAGAGGGTAGCGGCCCAGCACCGGGGGTGCAGGCCTTTGATGAAACATCAATGTCAAATATTTTTTAAATATCTGCTATTTTGATTTAGGCATACTTTTCCCTTCAATATTATTGGGAATATCATTATTTATTACACAATTGTGTCTTTTATTTAAGACTTTTTCTGATAAAATGTCATATTACTATATACTAGATTACAGTAAAAATGTATTTGATATAATGATAGTGGCTGTGTAAATATAATAGAATGATGCTTTTTTTTCTTCTTTTTAATATATTTCTTTATTGATTCCAGAGAGGAAGGGAGAGGGAGAGGGAGAGGGAGAGGGAGAGGGAGAGGGAGAGGGAGAGGGAGAGATAGAAACATCAATGATGAGAGAGAATCATTGATCTGCTGCCGCCTGCATGCCCCACACTGGGGATTGAGCCTGCAACCCGGCCATGTGCCCTGACCGGGGAATCAAACTGTGGCCTCCTGGTTCATAGATCGATGCTCAACCACTGAGCCACGGTGGCCGGGCTGGTGTTCCACTTTTTATGCACTCATTGGTTGATCCTTATATGTGTCCTGACCAGGGATCGAACACACAACCTTGGCATATTGGGATGAAACTCTAACCAATTGCACTCCCCAGTCAGGATCTTTTAAAATCTTTTCTGTATGTGTGTGTGTTAAGTCAATTTTTTATTGATTTCAGAGAGGAAAAGAGAGGGAGAGATAGAAACATCAATGACTAGAGAATCATTGATTGGCTGTCTCCTGCACACCCGCTACTGAGGATCGAACACGAAACCCAGGATTGTGCTCTAACCGGGAATCGAACTGTGATCTCCTGGTACATAGGGTGATGCTCAACCACTGAGCTATGCCAGCCGGGCTAAATCCCTTTTTTTTTTCTTTTTTTTTCTTTTTTTTAAATATCAGGGAAGCTTTGTTTAATTATAGTTTTTAGTATTTGTTCAACTTTGTAATTTACAAAAAGTGCTGGACTTCTATTCCATGTATGATGGTTCTTCGTTGCCTATCTTTAATATTTGCTGTTTTCTCTCAAATACTTTTTTATTTAAAAAAAATTTTTTTTTCTTGGGCTGCTCTTGGTTGGGGGTCACCCCAGGCCTAAGGCAGGAAGATGGTGGCTGCAAAGAAGATGAAAAAGTTGCTGGAGTTGATCAACTCTAGGCTCCAACGTGTTATGAAATGTGGAAAGTTCATGGCCGGGGACAAGCAGATGACAATGGTCAGACAAGGCCCAGTGAACCTGGTCATCCTCACCAGCACCCGTCCAGCCTTGCGGAAATGTGAAACAGGGCACCACACCACGCTGGCCAGGACTGCTGCCCATCACTACAGGGGCAATGGTGCTGAACTGGCCACAGTGTGTGGAAAATACTAGAGTGGGGGCACTGCTGTCACTGATCCGGGTGATTCCGACATCATAGGAGCACACCAGAACAGGCTGGAGAAAAGAAATCGTGCAAAACTTTCAAATAAAACTGGCCAGAGCTTGGTTAAAAAAAATTTTTTTTTAATTTAAAAATGGTCTTAAAATGTTCTTCTTGTCATCTTATATTTCTCTTAAGGCATCATTGATTGTGTTTTTTCACTTTTAAAAAAATATATATTCTATTGATTTCAGAGAGGAAGAGAGAGAGAAACTTCAATGATGAGAGAGAATCATTAATTGCCCACAACCTGGGCATGTGCCCCTGACCGGAATCGAACCTGGGACCCTTCAGTCCACAGGCTGACACTCTGTCCACTGAGCCAAACCGGCTAGGGCATGTGTGTTTTTTAAGAGAACATTTATTGACTAAATGCCAGAGGTAGAAAAGTGATTCCTAGAAGAAATGGGCTTAGAAAACAAGTCTAGAGGTACAGAAAGGGCCCTTGGAGCTCGGGAGTGAGGAAGGGAAAGGGAAAGAAAGGCACTGGCTGCTCCCGGAGGGAGAGCGAGGGAGCTGGTGAGGGTCTGAAGGGCGGAGATTTTAGGGGAGGGCTCAGGGAAAGGTCCTAATAGAATATTCAGAGTTTTCCAGGTTATCATTCAATGCTGCTGATCCTGAAGCTGGTCCTGCGGCTTAGCTGGGCCTGGAGCTGAGACAGCTGAGGCCCTGATGTGATCTCTAGGGAGGAGAGGTCAGGGCGTCCAAACCTCACGGCCAGCGATGTGCTAGGGGAGGAAAGTCACCCCAGGGTGAGGTCCCCCCTACAACTGATTGTCCATTGCTAGGCACCTGGGGTTCTCCAGGTCACTTGACAGTGAAAAATAAAACTTAGAAGGCAACTAACTGAATTAGAATCTAATAATCACAACTGGGTATCACAGAGGCTGCTGAGACACGTTTCGCCCTGAAATCACCCTCATTTTTATTAAAGAGCCAAGTTCAGACCAATTTATTTACTGCAGTAAGTCTGGTTTCAATTTGGCCTGACTGTTTGCAAGAACACAGTAAGAAGGGCAATAATCATCCAGGCTTTTAAAAAATCGGCTTTGCTGGGATTTCATAACTGAGCTTTGTCCCTCAGGCAAAGAAGCCGAGCCACCTCGTCGCCGCTGCCGTCAGGTTTTCCTGCGATTCCTGTGGACTTGGGGGGAGTCCTCATGTTCTTCAGGTTCCCAAAATGTCTTGAGGTTCCTTCCCTGCCGTATCTCAGGAAAGCAACCTTCGTTCCTTCCCTGGAAAGACGGCCGTGAACCACGCGTCTACGCAAGATACCAGGCTGCTTCTTCAAGGTGCTCTTACTGGCGTCAAGGTCAGTGTTCATTCCTTCGAGCTTTCTGGGGACATTCAGAGCCCCGGCATTTCTCTCTCCGACATGACATTCCAGGCAGAGTCTTGGTTGATAAGACCACACCGGATACTTACCTGGCAGGGGAGACACCACGATCCTGAAAGTGTTTTTCCCAGGGCGAGGCGTATCCATTGCACTCTGGATGTGCTGACCCCTGGGACTTCCCAATGTGGGAAATTATCTGCATAATTTGTGGTTGTGGGGGGGCTTGTGTGCTCTCCCCTAAAAAATAAGTAAGTAAATAAAACGAAATTGGAAACTGGTCTTATTGGATTCATGCAAAGAAACATATGGCCATGACTCACTCATTAAGAATTGCCAAATTCTGGCCCGGCTGGCGTAGCTCAGTGGTTGAGCGTTGACCTATGAACCAGGAGGTCACAATTCTTGGTCAGGGCACATGTCCAGGTTGGGGGCTTGATCCCCAGTGGGGAGTATGCAAAACAGGCCTAACTGCAGGGTAGCATTAAACTTGAAGGTGCCACTAACTGGCCAAACCTCTCCACTGTGCACTTCACAGTGGGGCCAGGCTAAGTTACAAAACAAGTCTGAGGCATTGGGTAAAACTTCACCCAAAGGGGTATTCGAGGCACTGGGGACTGGTCCCCCCTCTGCAGAGAGAGGAAATCCCAGCTAGCCCCTGGGCTGTCCTGGGCCGCTGTTCTGCGGTCTGAGTAGCACAGGTCCCTTTACCCTGTGTCCTGAGGGTAGACTTACTAGGGGTTGCAGTGATGGCCAGTCACGGGGAGGATGGACTCACTGGGCTCAGACAGGCGGACTCCACTCAACGAAGGTCCCAAGCGAAGCGTCCCTGCTTGCCCGCCTCTAGACTTAGCAACCTCACCGGAGGCCCCCCCTATCAGATCTGTCCGTAAAGGGGTACCTAGTATCTCCTAATGTCTCCCGTGGCCTCGGACGGAAAACTCGTCCTACAACTCTAGTTTCCAACTGTTGGGCTAGTGACCTGTAGCCCTGCCTTCCATGTTCCCAAAAGCCCTGACCCCTTAGGAGGCCAGTGAGAGGGTTAACTGGAAATGCAGGCAGGGCAGGGGGTCCAGGGAAAACAAAGGCAGGTGACACATAGGCAGGGCAGACGTGGCAGCTTGAGCAGCCCAACCACGGGAACCAACCACACAGAAATAATAAAATGTTTCTGGACTCAAGGCAGGAGGCATGGGAGCACAGGGGAGAGCCTGCAGCAACAAGGTGTACGAACACATAGAAACAGAGCAAGTCCAGCTCAGGGACAGAACAACACCACACAGAAACAGGGAAAGTTCAGGTCTGCTGCTGGCAGGAGCAATTGAGGGAATCAATCAGGTGACAACACAGGGAGGCATAGAGCAGGCCTGTAGCAGACATATACCCTGGACTACAAGGCTTTCCCGGGCAGCCCACTGTTGGGTCCCGCTCCCCACTGGGGAGTCTGAATCTGCTTAAAATAAACTTTCCACACTTTCACTTCAATCTTCTGGTCTTCCGAGCTCATTCTTCAACATCACAAGACACGACCCCGGGAAATCACCAGGCGAGCAGCCACCCATCGCCACCAGGCGAGCTGCCACCCATCGCCATCGCAGGGAAGAGACCCGGTTAAGTTACCCCCTAGGCTCTCATAGAAGTTGGTTTCAGGGACAAAGAAGACTCCTGGCGGGGTCTGTAGCTTAGCTGGGCCAGCCAGCCAGAGACAGCGCCTCGGGCCCGGAGGGCAAGTCCTGCCCGCCTTCCCCAGGAAGATTAGAAACTGGTTTGGCTCAGTGGACAGAGCGTCGGCCTGCAGACTGAAGGGTCCCGGGTTCCATTCCAGTCAAGGGCACATGCCCCAGTTGCTGGCTTGGACCCTGGTAGGGGATGTGTAAGAGGTGGCTGAAATTGATGTTCCTATCTCCCTCTCCCTCTCCCTTTCTCTCTATATCTCTCTATATAAAAGGCTAATATGCTAAGTGTCCATCTGACCGATCGCTATGATGCGCACTGACCAGGGGGCAAACGCTCAACACAGGAGCTGCCATGACACACACGGGTAACTTGCAGAGAAATCGCACCGCGGACCTGGCGCCCACAAAGCAATACTCGGCTTCCCCCAAGTGGGACACAGGCCTTGCCACCACCCTGAAGCGACACCCCACCAAATCGCAGCTGATGCTGCCAAGACACCATGGTGCAAAATGGAGCCCACCACCTAGCCCAGCCCCGGTCACTGTGAGTGCCGGGTAATGACGTCACGTAGCAATGCCTGGCTTCCTCACCCCAGCGACGACTACCCTCCTTGCAGTTTCCTCAGCCCAGGAACACGACTTGCTTTATAGCCAGGTGGAAACATTTCACACTGTAACCAAATGACTTTGAAGCGTTTTCCCATGCCTCATCTCATTTGATCCTCACATTAGTCCTGGAGTAGGTAGATAGGAGACTCAGTGGAATCCTATTTTCTTTTCATTAGCCGGAAAATGGAGATTTAGAAAGCTTAGAAACTTGACCTGACCTGACTAAAAAGAAGTAAGAAATGGTGGACCTTGAAAATGACTTCAGGTTTTCTTACTGCACAGAATATAGTCAAACACCGCTGCAGTTAAATATTCTATCTTTGTTCTCCCTGCGTGATCTACAATAATAATCTGTTTTGTGTTGATATTTACTGCTGTGTTACTGACAACTACCTGAAAGAGAAGTTGGGGTGCTTCACTGGGCTGGAAAAAGTTTAGCTAAATCAGAAAGCAGGTCTAATTAAGCAAGTTTATTCTATATCTATAAAAGGCTAAGTTGACTTGTGCATGTGCAATATATATAAAACTCTCACTGGTGCCAATCGCATACATGTGTTTCGATCTGTCATTGTCAATTTAAATTTGGTTGACACTTCTATTATCAAGAAAGGGCAAATAGCGATATTTAAATATTTCTTCTAATTAATTTCATTTCAGTGTGCACGAATCTGTGCACCAGGCCACTAGTATTTAAATAAAAGAAAAAAGAAAATAAACTGCCGGTGTCCCTTATTTTCCAAGTTGGATGAGTTGAGGCTGTCATTTATCCAGCAAAAGGTCGTGTTCAGACCTCAGAAAGCAATCCCAATGGAAAAGCCAAAGTTAAAAAGCAGCTGTCCCTTTTTCCTTAGTTACCTTGACCCTTATCTATAGCCTTAACCCTGGGCTCCACCTCAGGGATTTCAAAAAGTTCAAAGAGAGTCAGCCTGAACTTAACTCCAGGCACAAAGGAAGAAAGAGAAAGGAAAGAAATGAACATGCTTCCAGCCAAAGGGCAAGTCTCTCTCTCTCTCTCTCTCTCTCTCTCTCTCTCTCTCTCTCTCTCTCTCTCTCTTGGAATTAGTAACCTGACAGGGAAAAGCCACAGGGAAGGGCCTTGTGTGACTTTACAGTGTTCCTGCTGCATGCACATTGTCTTGCAGTCGTCTGGGTGACTTCCCCGGTCCATGACCTACTCATCCTTTCATAGGAGTCCTCTAGCAGCAGCAACAATCTGGAGAGGGAGAGACAGAGAGAGAGAGAGAGAGAGAGAGAGAGAGAGAGAGAGAGAGAGAGAGAGAACCCCATGGCCAGAGCAAAAGATACAGGGAGGAAAGAGAACACAGTCATGTCTTTCAAGCCAAGGTGGCGGGGACTTACTCCGCTCAGACAGGCCAACTCCACTCTACTGAAGTCCCAAGCGAGGTGCCCTGCTCTCCTGCCTCCAGACTCACCATCCTTACCTGAGCACCCCCACTCCTCTCCCTTCGCATATCTGTCCAGGTTGTCTCAGTAATGTGCTGACATGACATTCTTGAGATGACAAGGTTATATTGTGGAAATGGAGTCGCTGCCACCGGTTAGAGGCGATGGAAGGAGGGCAGGGGAGATCTCTGTGGTGATGGAATAGTCCTGCATTGGTGATTAAACAATCCGAGTCACAGGGCACCAAATATGTAGGTGACAGGATGGCACCAGGTGTCTGACTGGTGGGGTGAGGCCAAACCTGGGCTCAGCATCCCCGGTATTTGGGTTCTGCTAGGAAAGAAATCAGAGCGAGACCCAAACTGTAAGAGAACATTTACTGGGGAAAGGACAGAAAAAGTAATTCCTAGAAGAAATGGGCTTAACAAACAAGTTCTAGAGTAAAGAAAGAGTCCTTGGAGCCTGGGAGTGAGGAAGCTGATGGTAAGGTGCCTGGGTGGGGTGCCTGGGTGGGTGGGAGGCATGAGTGTGCTGGGAGAGGGAGAGCGCTACGGTTTTGACTCTAAGAATCTCCTAAAAGTGGAATCATATTTGTCTTTTTGCGACTGGCTTATTTCACTTAGCACAATGTCCTCAAGCTCATCTGTGTTGTAACATATTACAGAATTTTCTTACAGTTTAAGACTGAATAATATGGCTCTGGCTGTTTTGGCTCAGTGGATAGAGCTTCAGCCTGAAGACTGAAGGGTCCCAGGTTTGATTCTGGTCAATGGCACATGCCAGGATTGTGGGCTCAGTCCCCAATGTGGGGTGTGCAGGAGGCAGCCAATCAATGATACTCTCTCATCATTGATGTTTCTATCTCTCTCTCCCTCTCCCTTCCTCTCTGAAATCAATAAAAATTTATATATCTATTTTAAAAAGACTGAATAATATGTATATACTATATTTTTCTTATTCATACATAACCGGACAATCAATGGGTCCATGCTGCCAACAAAGATGGCAGCTAATTTGCATACTTCAGGCAGGGCGGGTCAGCGCCATCCCACCTGCTCTGCCACCATCCGGGCCTGCTATCTGCGACCCAGGGCGGCGGGTGTCCCGTGTGTGTGACCCGACCCAGGGAGGCCGGGTGGTGCAGGAGCGATCTGCCGGCCCTCCCGGGCATCCCGTGTGCTACCAGACCCCAGGCAGTGGGGCGGGACAGGGTGGCTCCTCTGTTACCCCAGCTTCCTCATCACAGCTCCCTTGGGGGCCTAAGCCTTTAGTCGGACATCCCCCGAGGGTTCCTTGGCTGCCAGAAGGATGTCTGCCTGCAAACTTAGGCCTGATCCCCCAGGGAGTGGGCCTAAGTCGACAGGTGGACATCCCCCAAGGGTCCTGGACTGCAAATGGGCCCAGACCGGGCTGAAGGAACCCTCCCCCGAGTGCACAAATTTTTGTGCACTGGGCCTCTAGTGATTAATATTTCTCATAACCATAGCTAGTCCCCAATATTATTTTTGCCCCTAAAACATTCATCTATTGATAGATACTTGAGTTGCTTCCATG